ATCGTTATAGAAATAGAATTTTATCTTAAAAATGAAATACCAAATAATTTTTTCTTTAATACCACGGGACTCCCCTCCCTGATAAAAATAATTGTTCTGTGTTATACGCGGGTTCTCCATTGCATGCGAAGCAATGGCCGACTTCACGAAGACTGCATAAGGTCGTCAGAAGCGATGTTCAAGTACAAAGTATCTTAGGAGGAACCATTTCAAATCCTTTTTCTTAGCTCTTGTGTCCTCTAAGCTTTGAGGTATCTACAAAATCACTGGAAGAGCTAGAGCAGCTTAGTTAGGTCCACGTATTCGTTTGTTATTTGTGGTACAAACAACTGTCGTAGTTCATCCTTTGTCGCATTTTMRGCAATAAGCCGCAAGCGTGCTCGACGATTTGACGTTATGTAACAGATCAGTTACRCATTTACTAGCTTTGACCTTACATCGAGAGCTAGAACGGTGACTGGGGTTTTTCGTGTAATGGCTTGATAGCTTCTGTTTATGTCGAAACGACTCAAAACAAAATTCCATCGTGAAAAAAGTTCGACTAAATTCCCTTCTGAAAAACACGTGTGTATTTAAGGTGGAAAATGTTTCATATGAGCATTCAATTCTTTAAAAAGGTTTAATTCTATAATCATTTTGTTTAGTTATGTAAATAAATTTAACACGACTTGTACTGTTTATCTGAGTGGAAGGAGAGCTGCGGGTTTTCCCTTTCCTTTATCTACATTTTCAAATATGACCGCATAACAAAAATGCACGGGCTCACTGGCTTACAACCTTGGCGAATTCATATGCAGGCCTGGTCGCAAATCAATCACCCAGATATTCAACTAAAGGACAATAGAACTATTATCATAGCATATTAAGTAACAATGAGCGTAAGAACTAGGGAGCTCTCTATTGTTGTGCGGCATAGCAAGTTCCCCATGTACGAATGTCTTGGTTTTCACACTGATTATGTATCCATTTGTGGGTAACACATTTTTGAAATAAAATGTGGATWAACTCTATTTTGAAACAAAGTTTCTTTTGTATTAAAAGCTCTTATCCAATCATAAGCACTCAAAACAATAGCTAAAAGATGCTTCTAATTTGCAATGTTCCCCACATAGAATTRCCTTAATATTGAAGCTAAAGAAAGCTTTCATGAAAGCGAAAAACGACATTAAATATAATATTAGAAAATTCGATAACTTTGGAAATTATAGCAGATTTTCATGTTTTAACCAATGGGATGGATGGATTATACAATGCGCAATTAGCACCTTCTTGCATTCCTGTGCCGTTTGCTTCCCTAGTTCTTACTCGGGGCATTACTTAAAGTCATTCCCTATAAACTTGAACATTTGCTCTAATTAGCGTCCAGTTTGCCGCGGACAAAAAATATTATACTRCGCAGTTATGCGTTAAGGAGTGCGGACAGGTTGTTTTCCCCAAGGTGGAAACAAGAGTTCAAAACGTCTTGTGCATGTGCGCGACAGTTGATTCAGAAAAACGAATTTTTTAAAATCCCCTTATAATTTATACTTTTTCATAATTAATACGATTTTTCTAAAGCTTTAATATTCCTTTTTATAAATCCGACGGTAATAATCGACATTTTTGAGCCGACTCTGAATAAATGAGCTAAAAGGTTCAAATCGGGTGCTATTTATATTCGGGCATTGTTGGGGAGTGATCACTGGAAGTTGATACCAGCTTTTGTAAACAATGACTTTGATATGATGAAATAGCTCGAGCTTTCA